GTTATATATTTTTTATTGTTATAGTGGAAAGTGACATTTTGGTGCAATGCAGTTTCTTACCGGTTCCCCTTCTTCTTTTCTCGGTACAAGGTTTCCCGTAATAGATTTACAAACTATAAGCACAGAGCTTCGACTTTCTGATATACTTGTAACTAGTAAGCCAACTTGTCTATAAATTTATTCAATAAATTGTATTGACTGAATATATTTCGATTACTCCTCATTAAGTGAAATACCGTGCGTACTGTGTCACAATTTTAGTTCAGAGCATCTTGTTTAGAAGTAAACATAGCAAACTTGAAACACCTACATAACCTTTGTATTATATTATTTGTAAAAGAAACTTTGATGAATAAACAAGAGAAAATAAAGAAAACAAAGTTGGTAGATGAAAAAGTGATAAAATTTATTAAAAAAAGTAACAATTGGCATTTTATTTAAAAATTTGGTTAGCAAAAAGAAAACAGCCGATAAATCAATGGGCAAGCTTACAAATATTTTCTCAGCACTAAAACTGTCTGCAATTCATGTTCTGTGAACAATCATGATAACGGTCAGCAATTTAAATACAAAAAGGTAGCGTATTTTATGATGCATCAGCAAAATAAACAGCCACGCCGCAAAATAATTATTTGGGTATTAAGATTATACTATTGAACAGCAAAGAAAACCTTTAAATTTTTATTAAAATTATTTAACTCATTTTATTGTAATTTTACTGGGAGTATATTATGATCAGAATTTTATATTTTAATATTATTATATATTGCATTCTGATTTTTTCAATTAAAATAGTTGTCATATGACCGCAAGACTAAAAATAAGGTACATTTATAGAATAACAAAATTACTATATAAAAAACTTAATAAATAAATCAGTAAAATCAAATGAAAATTAACTAAGTGTAATAGACAAACAAATTGTAAAATTAAGTTAAAAGCAATTGTCAAAAATTCTTACCAGCGTATTTGAATGGCAATGCATCATCTCGTAATTTTATTATATTTAAAGTTCGATCCAAACAACTTTCCCTAAAATGAATTGAGCAGTTAAAAGTAACTTTTTCATTATATTTAATATTTTCTGCTCCAATGGAACTCGGCCATATTCCTCTTTTTGTTTCATCTTTTGGTAATCTAAAATAATGATTATATTTTTAAATAATAAAATTATCGATATAAACCAAATGTTAAATTAACAACACTAGCCATGTAAACAACATTAATTACGGACCGAAATATTATAAAAATATAAACGAAAAGAGCAATATAACATAAATAGAACACGCCAAAATACGATATGTATCGATTTATACACGCAATCATTTTCAGAATAACTTACGTTTTAAATACTGTTTTTCTACGAAAGTGTTTAACTTACGGGTGAAACGTAATATTGCTAGGTTTGCGGGATATCGATGACGCACAACCAATAACACTGCACCTAGGCATTGTTTTGCATAAATAATTTACAATTTTCTGCCATGAAAGTTATATAAATTAAAGTTATAAATGAAAATAACCACAAAACTTATAACACTGACAGCTGAACTACTTCCTAGTGATGAGTCCCTCACTCGTGAGGTGCCTCGTTTGAGTTCCTCATTTCGACAAGATGAGGGAGTACTCGTTTTTCAATTTTCAAAAAAAATCCACCACCTCATTTAGCTCCTCACTCAAAAAGTGAGGAGCTTAATGAGGTAGTGGATTTTTTGAGTGAAGAGCTAAATAGCGAGTTGTTTCGAATGAAAAGGCGACTCGATACATACTCAATATATTCAAGATTGAGGGAATGGGTTATGTTTTATGAGTTTTTTGGAATGATTCAGGTTTGTTTATGTGTTTCTTCACAAATACGTATTAAATATTTAATAGATAAATGATATTAATAAGTCTAAGTAAAAACCAAAGTTAATAAAAATGTATCGGTTTTATTTAGAAATATATTTATATGATTCGAAATATATGTGATCGATTTTAAAAATGGAACATTTGGCAGTATTGCAAATAAGTTGCGTGTTGTGGTCATTCTGTTAAATAATAATCTTATAAAGTTTATTTTTTTTAGAATCTAAAGACAAAATATGTTTTGTTTAGCATTACCGACTCCCTCCCTCATTTTGTACCAAACGGCAATGTTGCGCGCGCCTCGCTACGTACTCGTTCACTGCTACTATAACATTACCTATCCTCACCTCAAATGAGTGGTAACTCGCGAGCCCCTCACGAGGGAAAATGAGGTCCTCACTCATCCTCATTAAAAAAGAGTGAGTAACACAACGCTACTACTTCCGAGAATACGCACTGCAACTTTGCAAATGGCGGACAGATGGTACGATAGCTATATGTCATGACGTCACGTAAAAAATTTTGAACTGTCACACTAGTGCGATCTTTGTTTACTTAAGAAACTTCTTATTAGTTAAAAAAAGACAACATGATGTTTTCGATGTCAACTTCAGATAGCATGATATTTATATAACCATAGAAAATTGTTCCACTCTACCTTATCTCTATGGTTAGTTAGTAAAAACTAAATAAAAGTATGGACGATAAAAAAATTAATTTAATCAGAGATTAATCATATAGACTTCGTTTGGTATGCGTTTGATATTAATTTAATAATGAGTGAGGTAATAAGTCTGTTTTTATATTCTTAATATTGTAACAGAAAATTAGTTTTCTTTTATTTTGAACCATTCCCAACAACACTTTTTAAATCATCGGAATCCGTTCAGAATAAAATCCAAAAATAATATTTCTTATTGAATCAACCAACTAATTAAGAATTAATATCCAAAGAAAAAAGACATTGTCACATTTAATCAATACAATTCAATGTATATCCAAAATAATATAAAGAAATCATTACTCTAGTATCCTTTCAATTAATCGACTTGTTGTTTTTCAATATCGATTGTAAATAACTTTATGTCAATCACTAGTGTGATATGTCAAATTAAAATGGCTTTTACACGTTTATTGCGCACTATAGATGTCTGTTATAGTCATATAGTCATGTTATGGTTGAGCGAACCAATCGGTTGTGGTTATATTGGAGCGTTCTGATTGGCATGTTTAAAATGCAGGTGTGTGCATATCTTTTGTATAATTGGTCTGATATTTCGTCTGATGTACGACGGACTAAAAGTGGGGCAAGACTGGCGACATCGGTTTTCGTACAAAGGATGCATGATCGCCTTTCTAACCTCTTTTCCGTGTTCTGTGGCCACAACAATCGATAATGAGACGAGATGACGCTGTATACCTTTAATTAAGATACTACAAGTCATTTACAACAAAGGATATCTACATCGCTCACAATGCGTTTCGTCACAAATCGATGTAGGTTGAACATTCTATATAAGCGAATTGGTATCGCTTATATAGAATGTTCAACCTACATCGATTGGGAGGGAGACAATTATCCTTTAGTCTCCCTTGCCAGTTATCTATCTCCAACATCTAGTAGGACCACCTTCAACACACCTTCACCATTGCGGTTCCTACAGATGAGTACAAGGAACGTGCATACATTTCCTTTAATGCATACAAAAAACTACCTAAAAAAGTAAAAGTAAAGGTAAAGTACCTAATATTAAACGGTTCTCATTCCTATTCCAGGAAGGTTCATATGTTTAATAATACAGAACTACGCTGGCGTAAAACTAGTTAATTTGAAAGGAAAATTAGAAAAAATAATAACTTTTATGTAGCCACGTTACAAGATTACTTTGAATTTGTGAGTGATAGATGTCAAATTTGGTCTATTATAATGACCTAATAATGACTTAACTATAGAAGAATATCGGATTCTAAAACTATATATGCGTGAATGGATCTGTTTTCGGTAACTTCAAGCCATTGTAAACACAATCGCAAACAAGTAGCAAAACAAATCAAGCAGCTTTACACATGCTACTTTAAAACGGGAAATTAAACCGGCGTTCGATTAACTAGCATGCTTATTTACAAGCATGCTCATTTCGTTTGATTTTTAGTCTTCAAAAAATGAAATCTATTAATATTTATTTATTTAAAAAATATTAAAAAGACACAGAAAAGTATGGCAACAGCTTTATCTCTAATACGCTAAGTTTTGGAATCCTAAGAATATTTAATATTGCTATTTCACTCACTCGCAAATTCAAAAGCGATGCGATACGGTTTGATATCCCATATCTATAAATATCGGATATCGAGTGAGATACCGAATCCGACGTATCGCATCGATGCAGCAAAATGGTCTTTCAAACAATAGGTTAATATATATAGTTTCTGTGCGCATTGATATCGGATATCGATTACGATATTGATACAGCATACTTATACGATACCTAATACTCAGTCATTAGTTTTTAACTGACTGCCCTAGAAGGAGTGTATTTGTTTAGAAATTGAAACAATCTAAAAATCTTTGTACAGTTACCACTGTTTTCGAATGAGGAAGTACCTATTAAAAACAACATTAGTTCCCGAAAACAAACTAGGTGTAGTTACGGTACTTTCTTGATTTCCCCATGACAACTTTAACATTCGTTTTCAAAACTCAATAAACAACTCATATTTTATTTGAACTTTTTCGTATTTGTATTGATATCTAAGTTTCGAGCTTTGCAAATTTCAGTTTTTAATATGTTAGTTAAAAGGAACGGAAATGACTATCTTTGGTCCATTCGTTTCCTGCAAAAATCAACTTCTGCTAGAGTCGCCTCTAGTGTGGTGCTTTTTAGTGCTTTCTATTTACTTCTTTTAGAAAAATAGTTTAATTAAACTGAGGTTGTCATGAAAGATGTTAAAAAAAAACTATATTATTATTTTTCTAAAATCACAATTTGTTTTAACAATAGAGAACAAGTTATAATTGTGGTTATAATGAAAAAATCTAAGCTAAATAGAACTTAACTTTTACTATCGAAATTATTCGATTCAACTGATTATCAAATGTGATTCGATTCGACTCATCACTAATTCTGTCAATAATAATATTGAAGATTATTCTTTTCCGGTGTGTTTGTGAAGTGCGTGAGACGTAGGTTTTTAAAATCTCTTCTTATTTTTATAATCCTAGATTTATTTATCTTAGTTTTTAAATTTACTTACGGGAATAAGTGTAAAGTTGCCAATATGATTTATATTTAATCAATCCATTGATATTTCAGTTTCACTTTTATCATGTTGGGTCGCGAATCGCTCTTGTGGCCAGACCGATGATGTGACTTCTGATCAATTAACTTGATTTTGTTGCTAGGTCTGCCACAGGCTTCTTAAGATGGGCGCGTACAGATATATTCAGGAATTATATCGTAAAAAGCTGAGCGATGTTATGCGTTTCCTCTTACGTGTCAGAGTATGGCAATATCGTCAGTTGACTCGTATGCATCGTGCCCCAAGGCCTACTAGGCCTGACAAGGCAAGAAGATTAGGATACCGTGCTAAGCAAGGTGTGTATTCTTCATTTCATATTGTAGTTATTTCTATATTAATTTGACCTTTCCCACGTGTGATAATTATTCGTCTTACAGGTTATGTGATCTTTAGGATCCGCGTGCGTCGCGGTGGCCGCAAACGCCCGGTGCCAAAGGGTGCCACTTATGGTAAACCCAAGAGTCACGGTGTAAATCAGTTAAAACCTACACGCAACCTACAATCCATTGCAGAGGTAAGAAACTAAATTAGACACCAGTAGACATTTTGTGAGCATGCGAGTCATGCCGAAGCCGCGGCTAATTCCCTTTAGTTTGTGACAACAAACTGACACTAATTAATTGTCTACAGGCACTTTCTAAACTGCACTTTGATGTTTGACTTTGTGAAAGCTTTATGACGTTTTGAAACATGTACTTGAATGTTCCAATTCAATAGCTTCACCCTAGATATTTGTGCTAAGTAGAGAAAACCAAACACCACAAGGCAAGGCCATGTGGTTGTCTAAATTTTGTTTCCCCGTGAGTTTTCACAAGTAAATTATGTCATCATATAAGGTAGCATCCTATAGGGAAGAGAATTTTCATATCAAGGTTACCCCCCTACTAAAAAAAATTAGAAACTTGCCTCTTTATAATATCTGTATGGATTTGAATCCATGAAGGTGCATTAAAACCAAACTCACTAATAATTAAAGCAAAACGAAAATTTGTTAAGCCTTTACACTAAAAGAATATCAATGAGTAAGAATTCTTATTTCTCGAATTGAGAATTAGAATGCTTGAGTGATCGATAGCTATTTGTACTCAAATCACTAGATTTCAAGAACACTTTGAAGAGACTGCTCTGATGAGAATTAAATAATTTAGTACAATGTCATAATTTTAATTTCAGGAAAGAGTTGGCCGTCGTTGTGGTGGGCTCCGTGTATTGAACTCCTATTGGGTAGCACAAGACTCTTCTTACAAATACTTCGAAGTTATATTGGTTGATCCTTCTCACAAGGTAAATAATTATGATATCCCTTAATTCATTATTATACTGAAATTTTCATTTTATATGATGAACTTTTATGTCATGCACCAATCTGAAAGGTTTTGCTGAAAAATCACCTACCAATTTTTCTGAAGATCATAGAAAAGTTTAATTGTCTATTGTCTTAAATGTGTATTTTTAGAGTTCATATTTTGTTTAGGCCATTCGTCGTGACCCTAAGATCAACTGGATAGTGAATGCTGTTCATAAACATCGTGAGATGCGTGGTCTCACTTCGGCCGGACGCAGTTCTCGAGGTCTTGGCAAAGGCCATCGATACTCCCAAACCAAGGGTGGTTCCCGCCGTGCCGCATGGATCCGTCGCAACACGCTGCAACTGCACCGCAAGCGATAGACATACAACAGAATATGCTATTGACTTTCTATCTGTTTTCATTATTCAATTTGTTAGTATTCTCAGATGGAAAGGCAAAAGACAATACATTTTAATTTAACCCAACAATATTTTTTACTTTTTTTTTTCCAACATGAGTACTATTATCAATGTGTAAGTTAATTTTGCACTCTTTCTTAACATATTGTTTTTCTCATTTCGTAAATTATTTTAATCCCATAACTTTATTACAGGATGAATATTGTGGATGAGTGATTGATGTCTCTTTAAAAGGTAATTTCTTTTTAGTTTCCATTTGTTATATAATTGATTTGAGATCAATTCACACTGAAGTGGTAGAAGTACTTTTATTTTAATAATTTGTTAATCTTTTAAATATTTTTTGTACAATAGCTACTCCACTGACCTTTGCCACTTGGGTGTGAATTAATACTGTATGATGATATAATGCTTAATGATATGCGCAACCCTGATTACCACGCATTTAAAAACTTCCTTGGATGGCTGACAAGAGATGTTAACAAAAGTTAAGTTGTTGTACTTTAACCAAATCTCTAATATATATTTTTATTGCAGGTTGCTGATAGCTGCTGATAACCTGTTTCAAATTATTTAAGGTAATTATTATTGCACTTAAACCAATCCAGATTTGTTAGATTGCTTGTTAATCATTAAATATTAATAAGAATACACAATTTGGAAAAAGTAAGTCTCACCTAGGTGTGGTTTTTGTGTGTTTCTCATCAATAGACCTCAATCCGGTGAGATACATTTGTAGTATTTGCTGATTATATTAATTATTATCAAATTAATATAAAGTTCTCTATAAGTGAATATAATTCTTCAGAATATTGAACAATGGAAAAAAATGTATTTAAATTACATATGAAGTCTGAAAATGTTAACACAGCAATGCTTATAATGTAAATTAATATTTGTTTTTCTGTTTCAGGTATACATCAATACGAATTCAATTCACGAATGAGTGTAATTTTGTTATTTAATCAGGTTATGAATATACATACTTCATACATATTATCTTTTTATTTAATTTAACCTGTAAAAAAGCTTCACATACACCCGGTTTTTGACTTGCGTATTTATTTGCGTAAAGTTAAGCACGTCTCAAACTACTTAAATGAATTTATTTTTTTTATGATCAGTTGATTGCAGTTGATAAAGACTAGGACTTTTGTCTTTTGAAAAGTAAAAAACTCCCGGAATCAAACTAGATGTCGCTACGGTACGTTCTCGATTTCTCCACGAAAACCATGATTTATATAAAAAATCAGACTTCGTTCTATCTACATACCCAATATCTCGAAAATGTAAGAAAAAAATTGTTAATTGGCTACAGGAAATAGACTATGATGACACTGAGTCCTTATTAACTGTCACACTTTGACGCTGGAGTTAGACACAATACAGTTTATGTTATTATTAATTCCCTGTTAATGATCCCCAGATTGAGATATAACGTAGGGATAGCACCAGTATCGGCGTGTAGTAATATTTGTTACTTGCTTTCCTCCAGTTTTATGCATCCATGTGGTCTCACTTTGGTAGGAACAAATAGTGGCTTATACCAGATTCAGGCATAATAATTATCAGTGTACCAAATTTTATCAAAACTTCTCATTTTTTTGCTTGAAGATGCAACAGACAACCAAACGTACTTGTATGAGTACTTATGCGTATGTTTGTTTGTGCGGGTATTTATGTGCGTGTCTGTATTGATTCATGTACAACATAAACATAATGGTACTAAAAATGAACAAAGCACATTACATAAATTGGCAGGATCGATGGGAGAATCACTGATGAATCATAAAATTTTTAACGAATACATTTATAAAATTGTGTATAAAATCTACACTTATATTCCGGATGTTGGAGGCCTGGTGACCTGTAAAACGGGTTTTAAGTGCAGGCACCAGTCTCCATGATAAATTCTGATGTCCTTGATACACTCTACACTTTTGTACATTTTTTGATATTGTGGAGAAAAATAAAGAAATATTATTATTATTGTTATAACCCTTCCGGTTTTCTTTCAGAAACGAAAGAAAAAAAACGGAAATCTGTTTAAGTGAGATGCTAATGAAGGCTTAACTTTAAATAACTCAATTCGAAAACCGGGTGTGAGATATTCCAATATCTCTTGATTAACACTCATTATTTATTCACAATTTTTTGGCATACTTAATAACTATGAAATTTGGTGGTGTGCCTGCTATCTTGACGAACAAAAAAATATGACGTTTTCCTTTCAAATGGTTTGAATCAAAGTATGTATACTAACTTATTTTTCTATGACTACCTTTGTCCATTGTCTTTAATTTGAAAGTTTGAAATTCTGGGTGTACGCGTTCTCTTAGGGAAAGTTGGTTACGCTAACCAACCCAGCGAATGACTACATAGTATAAAACAAAGTCGCTTTCTCTGTCCCTATGTATGCTTAAATCTTTAAAACTACGCAATGGATTTTGATGCGGTTTTTTTTAATAGATAGAGTGATTCAAAAGTTAGGTTTTTATGTATAATACAAGACCACGCGGGCAAAGCCGCTGTCGGAAAGCTAGTAAGTAAATAAAGTCACTGTGATGAAGACAAGAAAATAATATAAGACAAATGGTTGGCTCAAATATAATTCATTACTAAGTTAAGTATGTACTATATTAATATTTATGAAAAAGACAATCTAATTTCAATTATTTATTCTGAATTTTCTATTACCTTAAAAAGTAAATAACAATAAAGTTAATTAAACAGCACAGAAAACTGTAAGTTACGATGAATACATCCACGACAATTTGGAAAGCTTTTACTTACATATATGATTATAATAAAAATATATATATATATATATTAAAAATAACCCCTATTGTGATTATTGAAATGTTTGAAATCACTAATGTTGATGACGACAATAGAATGTGCTCTTTTCTTATAGCACTCGCTAAACTCTGTCTTTTATTCAGATATCCAAAGCTAAGGAAATAGAATTTCTTATCATTGTAGCAAGATAAAAATCAAAAACCATCAACATGTTTTTGAAAATCCTCTATAAAATTTAATTAATACGATCCTTTAAAATAAAATCGATATAGAGTTTAGTGAGTGCAATTCGAAAGAGTCAATGTTGAAATAAAAATTCACACTTACATCTAAATAAATACAAAACATCGTTTATGTATAAAACTATTACCTGACGACTATTTACAATATTTTTTAACAACTAGAATACCAATTTAAAAAAACTATGGAAAAATAATAAGAGTAAATAACTTATGAATTTTAATTTCTACTAAAGAATAGTCTGGACGGTTGACTATATTGTAAGCAAATAATAAAGTAGGTACATCACGTTATTGTTATTATTTGTGCATATTTCTTTTATGTTTATCATCAAATGATATAAATGAATTATATATGGGTTATATAATATAACCCTTAATTATATTGACAATAACTATAGTTCTAAATGTGAATAATTTATATACAAAGTAGCTTGATTAGTATTACAAAAGTAAACGTTGAATCTTTCGTAATTATTATTTTATGTTTATGTTACTATCAAAGATTGAAACCGCTCATTGTACGAAAAAATTACTCACAACGCGTTGTGGTCACAGTGAAACAGTCACAATGCGAAATTTGTTTTATTGCTGTAAGGGGCCATCCATAAATTACGTCACACGTTAAGGGGGAGGGACGACGAAGTGTGACATTGTGTGACAAGGGGTGGGAGGGTCCTAAATTTTGGTGACGTCACATTTCAAAATATATTATAATCAAGGTGTTAAAACACGAATTTTAAACTATTTATGAAAACCTTGCAAAATATGTGACATCACACCAGGAGGGGGGAGTTTTACAAATGTGACCAGCTGTGACTAGGACGGGGGAGGGGCAAAAAAAATCATGAAAATCGTGTGACGTAATTTATGGATGACCCCTAATGGAAACGCTCATATTATGATGTTGTGTTAATCATAGAAAGACCATATAGTGACATTCGTGTCGTGTCGTGGCTAAAATGCTATTCTGCCTCAACGCGTTGTGTCGTTTAAGTTGAAAATCGACAAAATTGATCTGTTGTGTATAGAACAATGATATAATAATTTTCCATTTTAGATTCAACTCACGAAATATAGTAAATCACAGTATCAAACAATTTACACTCATTTAACATATAATTTAAGTATTTAACTTTTAGTATTTTATATAGTAAAAGATATTTATTTCAGTTATAATAACCGCAGAAGTTAAAAAGTGGTTTGTTTTATATTGATTAAGGGTAGTGAATGTTAGAATACAAAATAAAACGAACTATATTTAGGTTAAGATTACCTTCCTATATATCTATTGGTAATTGAAACGTATTATACTTGCTCTTTAATACCAAACATTTGAAAATGTTGGTTTTCTTAGGCCGCACCACAAATACATCATAAATTTGTTTCAAATCAGTGAAACAATATTATAAAAGTTAACTTAATTCCTCTATGAGAACGCTCATATTTGTTTGTAAATTGGCTATTAGGTATTGCACCACCTTAGAGATTATAAAGACTTTCAGAACTATATTAATAATGTACATTCTATACACATACAATCTACAATAAAAAAAACGTAATCTCGTCTTTAGGACGACTACAAATAAATAATCCCAGATACTAATATAAATCTCCTGAAATTTTATAAGGAACTATTTGCTTCTATCTAGCAGTTTAAGCGCTAATTAGTGATTTTATTGAGCGCTTTTGCACTTGAACATGCTGACTAGCTAGTTCGAATAATTTTTTAATCAAATATTTAAATAAAAAAGTAGTTAATAAATTAATAATGGGAATAGTAGTTGGCGAGCAAATGATTTGTTGTAAACGGTAATTTTAGTGTTTTGATTTCGGTGTATGATTAAGTCTATTTCTAATATTTTTCGAATTTTATTACTGAACATTTCTATTTACAATTCAATAGTAAATTTAAGCAAATAAAATCACTGTAATCAAGATAAGAAAGTTGTTTGGCTCGTATATAATTCAATGAATTAACACATAAGTGTGTAGTTTATCGATTTCACCCCCATCCTGAATAAAATCGCCTCTTTTATGAAAAGTTACACGAAGGAGAAGTTATACAAAGCTCATTAAGCCAGATGAAAGAGCTCAAATAAAGGATTATACATGCTATTGTTACAAGTTACAAAAATCTTATTAGAACGGTGATCGATTAATGTGCCTTAAAGTCATCGCGTTAAAGTGCAATTTCAGTTGGCAGGCACCGGTTGAGCTGGCCGCCGATCGAAATGGAATGTATCGGAAAGGTAGAGGCCGAATATGGCCACGCTATAGAATACAGTCAGACCGAACAGTGCGACGCTCGCGCTCGCTGTAAACATATTTGAGTATTCGCACCTGTGAAAAAAATTTGACCCAATGATGAGTAGCTCGGTGGCGTAGTGGATGATTATCCACTATCGTTGTTGTTAAGCAACCTTCGCGACGGTCGGCTACGGGATGGGTGACCGAAAAATTATTATCTCGAGCTACTTCGTGCTTCGGAAAGCTAAGCCATTGGTCCCGGCTGCATTTGCAGTCGTTAATACCCAATCCGTATTGGGCCGGCGTCAAGGGTCATGTATCCATCCTCCTTAACCATCCATAAGGAAGGCTTGAGCCCCTGCCGTGGGGACGTTAAGGGCTGATGATGAGGATATTTTTCAATTGTATAAAAAAAAGGTAGACTAGGTTCTCAATTCAATAGAATATTTAAAAAAGTACTCTTAAAAAGTCTATTTCAATAAAAAAATATTTGACTACAAGTGACTCAATGAAACCATAATAAATGGTGAGATTGATTAGGACAACAGTACCTGAAGAACCAGACGACGGTGAGTGCAACGGAAACTAGCGTCATCAGAATATTCTCCAGATCCCAGGGTCTCTCTTGCTGTGGACCCTCCGAGACCAGCTCGGGGTTTGCAGGACTTTCGTCTGGCCTATGCGCCTGTAAGATGCATATATCTTTATTTTCATAATTATTTTTAGAATTAAGTTAAAAAAAAAATGTGAACACAAAGCAAAATTTAATCTAAAGATATTACATTTGTGCAAAAGATTTCATAAATCTTCATAATGGTCTCTGAGTTCGGTTCCATTCTAGGTCGGTTGAATATGGAAAATTGACTTTTCTATATTGTCTCTGGTCATGGTGTTGTGGTACCTTCACTGTCTCAGATACTCCACAATGCGGGCGCTTTAACTATACTCATCTTGGAATCTGAGCAATGTAATGTTATGTGATAATGGGGAATATGCATTAAATAACAAGAATTTTTGGCGCGCTTGTTGTGACGTACACAACTAGAGATATAACATTTTAAATCAATAGGTATTGATTATTAATCAATTACCCAAATTGATTTTTTATAGTATAATAATTATTATTTAGTTTACAAAAACTGATGAAATAAAAATAAAAGCCTAAAACATAATTTAATTGTAATCTGTTGTTTATTTTGCGAAATAATACATTAATGTTATTGCATCGTTGTAAACTTTTTGTAACAACGACATCCCTATACGTGTACATTTTCGTCACATCCGCTCTGACAAGTAACATGGCGTTTGAATATTTTGAAAAAATTTAACGCATTTTATAGAGTTTATTCCAAAGCTATAATGACCATAATAAAATATGTTTAACTGCTTTTTTAATCACACGCGTATTCCCTGTTAATTTGTTATTTTAATGAATTTTTCAAGGTTTGCGTACTTGAGCATGATTCCGCTTTGGATGCACAAGGCAGTGTACGACGGCGCGATGATGCAGTCCACAGGCTCTCAGTGTCGCTGTATCGTCCATCAACACACGACCGTTGAATATCAGACGCACACGACACTCGGACGAAAGCTCCGATGAGAAGTGACGTCTGATCACAAAATAGGATAATAGATTGCTTATATATTTTTTAAATGAACTAGCTTTTCGCCAGGTGGTCGTGGTCCTGTATATTAATGAAAAGCTCATCAAAATCCGTTGTGTAGTGAAAAGATCCCATTGCAAAAATTACATTTCACAAGATTTTGTTGTTAGTAAAATATAGTTGTTCTTAATTATGTTAGAGATAAACAAAGTAAAAAGATTTTTATTAAAAAAAATAAAACTGACTGAACGATTTCGATAAAATTTATATTTACACAGAACAAGCCCATAAACTGTCTAATTAAAAAAATTGATAACTGTATAATAATTGGCGTAACAAGAACACAAGAGAAAAAGATCAAATTGAGAACCCCATCCTTTTTGCAGTTGGTAAAAAAAAGATAATAAATTTGCCTTTTCTGCAAAAGTGCTGGTGCCAACTGAGAGCTGAGATTCAAGAGTTTATTTATTATAAGATACTACTATAGTATCTGAAGTAGAGATTTAAGCAATAGATTTAATATTTTCTCTCTACCTTTGTATCTTTGAAATAACAACCACACAATAAGAATAAATAAGTCTGCTCCCTATTCCAAACACATATATATATGAGTGACGCACCAAAACTACAAAAAACTAAGCAGATGTTACATAATAACAAATTATACTCACAATTTGAAGTCCTTAAGTGGTTCATCTAAACAGCCCTCCACTTCCTTAAGGGTATCATTTAGATATTTTAATTTTATTAAAATTGTTTGCCTGTTATTGATGTCAGGATTGTTTGTATGTGAAGTAGTACCACTTTCACCACTAGAGTTATCCACATTTACAGAATTCTCTTGATTTTCTGCATTAGAAGTAGTTGATGGTGTGTTATTATCTTTTATAATAGATTTTGTATTGTTCTTAGCAATTGCATTATTTTCTGCAAATAGAAGAAGCCTTTCATTGTAGTTTACAATTCATTAAAAATTACCGATATGGTTTCTCAAAATTGCAATATGATTTTTTTTTGTTAAAAATGGGTTTAAGCTTTCATTTTATAGATTTTACCCCCCTTTAATGTAATACTGTACAATTTTGGTGTTGTCAAAATACTAAGTATTTAAATTATATATACTATCTTTTATACCTTTATGATTTGTAAGATTTCTCACAGTCCACACTAAAACAGTATAAATTAAAACATATAGTGCAGGAACAATGCTGTGCGAATGAGCCTTACATTATTAAGATGTTTCAGATCCATTGCAGGTTGTCAATGGTCAATACACTAAGTTGTTGGCCATCTTAAAATTATTCAGATCATTGCTATGGTCCAACAATGCTCATTTAACAAGTTCATACTATGCTTACATTTTAAAATTAATCAGATCACCGTGCAGCCTACAAAAGTTCCAAAATGTCCAAATATAAGGCCATACACACATTTTTTTTTCAAAGGCAATTTTGGTTTCAAAGCACTACAGGTTTACTTACCATTAGGTCTAGTGAAGAACTCACATCCCGTTGTGACATCAGCCTCCATGGCGCTAACAATACTGTCCATTTCCCTGATCTGTGCATTGCTCGATGGCTCAACTTCCTCTTGGACTTCACTTTCATCACTTGCTGGCTCACCTACTTCGGTGTTGTTGCCAACTGCTAAATAAATTTAAGTATAATTTGTTTATAGTATAACATGCAACAGATTTGTTAGTGGTTAATACATGGCCACCACATTTTTTTGTTCTAGCAAGTTTAAGACTGACACTCCATTGAAGTAGTAAAGAATGGAGCTGTATAAAACCCACACTAATGTTACAAATGAGAACGTACATTTGTTTGTTTGTTCCTTACTCAGTCTCATCGAACTATAGTATTTTTGTGTGCAAGTATACATAGGCAAAAAGTTTTATTCGATGCATATCCATTGGAATTAATTTAAATTAAACATATCAATGATTATAAATTTAATATCCTCCTTAATCATCCATAAGGAAGGCCTGAGGGATTCAAAAGCACTGATGATGATGAATAAATTTTAATTGTGTTATACAATTTCAGGGAGATGAAATGATTCAAAAAATGTGATTGAAGAAAATCCCAACTTTGTTTGCTTTTCTGTTGATTCTATAACTATGAGTATAAGAAGCTTCCTTATTAGGCAAAAAAGTCTTATAGAACTATAGTTCATTTGACATTTCCACATTCAGCGAAGTTAAATAGCCTATGGTTCTGCCAACATCAATTTATACATCCAAATTTCATGAATTTTTCTCCATTACGTACAATCAATCCTTCTGTAGAAATGAAGTCTGTTATTGTCTAGCATGGCCATGTCGGCATCAATTATGCTGTCCATTTCTTGCAGGGGTATCACCCTAGAAGTGTCTCTGGTCTCCTCTGGTGTGTCTGATGTGCTCACGGCTGCAAACATAATATTTAAATTCCGTTTCCTTTTCATAGTGCTGTTAGCTGCTAATTGAAATCTATATTCACATTAATAAAAAAAATAATAAGTATAAACATTACCTATAGTATCTGAAGTAGAGACTGGATTAGATGTACTAGGTTGATTGTTTGCTATCAATAAATTAGCCCCTGAAGTAAGAAAAAAAAAACCATTGTTTATTACAAATTTCAAGATAAGTGAATACAAGATAAGTATTTGGTTAGTTGTATAAACTTTCTTAATGATTTAAAGATTGGCAGATACATTATTTAATAATTAATTTTCAATAAGTGAAAACTAAAAAAATAATATCATACTTTTTACCTTTTTAGTACCTAAATCTGAAAACAAAGATCTGTTGATTGTGAATTACTTACATTGACTTGATATTTGGGCACACAGTTTTACAAAAGTTAATTATTATGTACCTTAAAGCATGTAATAAAAAGAAAGAATGCTTACTAGTTCTTATGCTGACAGTAACTGAGTGAGGTGCTCTTGACCTCATCACAACCACTGTGCGATAACGACCAGGGCGAGCATTTGTTGACCACCAAGCGACTGCTGCCACAGCTAGCACTAATAACACACCAACAAACTGCAATACTTCATCTCCTATACCCTCTATAAGCGTCATTTTATCTTCAGGATCTAAAAAGTCAATGTTTTATTTACTGATGAATCTAATATGATTACAGTATATCAAAGAAATGCAGCTGTCAACCAAACAGGCAATTTGTTATGGAGATGTTTAGTTAGTCACTTAGTTTCTCTCTAAAATAGATTTAACAATATCTCTCAAGGTCATGAAAACAAGCTAATTGGCAACGTTAAAACTTACCCCAATATTTTATCCATACAATTTCGTGACCCTTTTCGCGAAAAATTTATAATGGTGTGCGAATAATATTTGTTACAAGATAAAACAACATTGCTTTATCAATTTTATTTTACAGCTGTCTTGCACTCTTGATATCAAAATAGATAAATATTTGCTCACTATTATTTCCATCCAAAATGAAAGCAGTCTATTTACATAAAGATTTGAATCTGGAATATTTTAAGAGATACATCAATTTACAGTATACTTTTCAGAACAAACAGAAATAAAAGTCTAAAACAATACAATTAGAATTTGCTAATTACTTTGATGCAAAGAATAAAATGTACAAATTCTTTGATGCTTTGACAGCTCTAGTGATGTTCAACTTGACTTATTCACTTGAGTTGGTGTAACTAGTTTTGAGATACATTTCATTTGCATTTTCGTGTAGAAATTAATTTATTTACTTGTCATTAAGATAAGAACAGATAAGTCTTTATTAAAGAAGAAAAAGAAAATTTAGATTTTAATTTTCCTTACCTCTAAATACTTCCGCCCGCCATAGAGCAATAATCAAATGACAGCGATATGCCGCGAAAGGTGCCGCTCGTTTAAGCTGTTTTCATTACCTACAAATGTCACAATATTTCAAACAAATATCGGTGCCAATGAGTAGGTTCGGATCCATAACTCAAAAAAACTTGTGGTCACACACAACATCCTGAAAACAGGAAGAGAGCAAGTAAAGTCGCAGTGTGAACTTAAAAATAAAAATTAGTTTTTGAAATCAAACTAGATTTCACTAGCGATGTTTGGATCTAGTTTATTATATTCATTCAAATTTGCTTTCTGACGTAATAAAAGTAAATTAAGTATCGAAAATTAGGAAATATAAGATCGATTCGTGTTTCTTATACTATGTAACTTTCAAATTAATTTAAATTTATTCTATGTTATTAGTTCAGTAGCGATAGTATAATAACTGTATGTCTTTGTGATTTTAAAATTTAAAGTTATAACCTTGCTGTTAATTTCTTCTTGATTGTTGAATTTTATTAAGATAACTTAATTCTGAATATAAAATTTTATAACTGATCTTAGTTAAAAAAAATCTTAATTTTTACTGGACAACTTATTTGCACGTTGTACTTTACACAAACGTCATTCTAGCCAGAAGTAATGTATATTTTATACTTGTACCTAGTATATTTGATACATATAATTAAATAACTGCTTACAAATAAATGAACACTCATAGGAAAGACAGGTCGAATTTTGGATTTATTTATAACAAACATTAGTGAATCTGTAACTAATCTTACTTCTGCGCCTTTTGTGCAGCCAGATAAAAATCACCCACCTTTTTTGCGCTTATAACAGTTAATAAAAAATATATATATATATATAAAGCTAACAATACAAGAACTAAATTGGATTTTAAAAATGGTAATTACAAGGCTATCAACCAGGATATGTTTACAACTGATTGGCATAAATTTTTTTTAAATTGTAATGCAGAAGATACAGTATCTATTTTTTATGAACATATATATATACAGAGATGTACAAAATACCCTGTACAAAGTATCTGGAATACAAGATACAAAATACTTTTAAATTAAGTATTTCAGATACCAGATACGAAATACTTTCGAGAAAAGTATTTGAAATACTAGATACAAAATAGGTATCTTATAGATACTTTTTTATAAATACAAATACTTTTCTAAAAAAAGATTTGAATTTAAGTTTGTTTATTAAAGACCACAAAAACCTAAATCTTAGACCATGGTTCCAGGGACAAAGTGGATTTTTTAAGCATTTTTCATTAGAAACAATTTTTGTAAGCTTTTATTTAGTTTTCTGTGTTTGTACTCAAATCTTACAAGCTAAATTTCACCCACTTTTCCTCCGTTTTATTTGTTTGTCAATCACAATGTAACATATAAAAATGCAAATATTTAATACATCAGGTTTAAATTATTTTAAATTTTTTAGTTCCTTTTTAATAATATTTTTTCAATATAGCATTGTGAATGAAAAATTGCTGAATATATTTCAGCAATTTTTTTAAATTTAAAACAACAAGAATAATTATTTAAATTTAATTATAAAATTATTATTTATTTAAAAAGCTGGTTTTACGTACGACATAAAATTACGGAGAACTGAAAATTCATTTTTTCCTAGTGAGATGAAGAGAGTGGGTAAAAATAAATACAGTACTTGGTTTTTAAAATTAATGGCGTGACTTGTGACGAGGTGAATGTGCGATAATATGTAACGAAACGTATATTAACTTTTTTTGCAGAACTACTGAAAATTATGCCCCTTTAGTGTGTTAAGCTAATTTGAAATTTTTTAGTAGAAAATACTTAGCTTCTGTGGTTGATTATAGTACGTTGGTTTGTAGGAAAGGCTTATAATACGTAGATGTACCTAAAAAGACGTAGAGTTGGTATTGCTGGTACTGTTGGTAATGCGCCATTAGTTACCATCTGATCGGAAAAATCCGGTCTCAACCGGATTTGAAGTATTAATTAAGTCTTTATCTATGAAATTTCCGTTTTTAATAAAATAAATGAAGCTTTATTTTCTTATTTCTATTAATCAAAGTAATCACCCATGCAATCAATACATCTTTGCCAACGCATTGGTAGCTTAATAATGCCTTGTTGAAGAAATCAGCTGGACGGGAGGCAACAAATACTTCAAAGGCATTTTGTACTGCCTCTCGGGAATTTATTTTTTTCTCGCTAAGACGTTATCCAAATTCTGGTAGAATTAGAAGTCTGTAGGCGCATGGTCTGTTAAGTACGGCGGATGACGGAGAACTTCAAACCCCAGCTCTTGTAGCTTGGGTACCGCCAATTGTGTAGTATGAGGTCGTACGTGGTCGTGCAGGAGCAGTGGAACCGAACGATTGACAAAACCTGGTTGGAGTTGTGCCAGCTTCTCCGTCATTGTGTTCAGTTCTTCACAATACACACAGTAAATCTGCAGTAATGCTCGTCCTGTTTGGTAAGAAGCTGTGATGAAATACATCCGCGTTAAACCACCAAACAGCAACCTTTTCGTAAACCAATAACGGGTGGTGCGTTCGTTTGTAGTGTTCGCTCTGCAAACGTTGTAATGTTGCGTGCCGCTTTGCTGCCACGATGGCACACATACTCCATAATTACTCGAATTTTTAACTTATCCATGACGACGACAAATGCATTGAAAACAAAACACTTACTATTGAACAAATGACGATTTTAGAAAAAATAATTTGATATTAGAATTATCAGCCAAAAAAAAATAGTTTGATTTTAAATGGCTAGTACAGCAGAACGGCAATTACATCGGTAAAGACCTAATATTAAGACAGGACTCCGCCCATTTTTGTTGTTGTTTCTCAATAAAGATCCCTTGAATTAAATGGTTACTTATTAAAGCAAAATCTACTATACGATTACATCACAGATTGTGTTGTATTTTTGAAAAATAAAGGAGTATTAATTGACGATGTCAAAGAAATTATTTGAAGAATTTTTTCAATTAACAAATTTATTTTTATGACGAATTAGTTGAAAAGCAGTGGGTAATTATTTTCAATATATGCAATGACAGCACTCGTTTCCGAACTACTGAAGATTTGTCAGTATTTTTTTGTATTATGCCTCATAATGCGAATATTGATTTTTTTATTAACTGTTGAGTCAATAAAAGCAATATTGCTTTGCTCACGGGATATAATTTCAAACATTTGCCATGTATCGAATTTCACTGTGAAAGGGTTTAGCCGGATACGTATGACGAGTCGGCCCCCAAATGGGAATCGATATTGAAACTTATGTTTTAATATAGACTTGATGTTCAAACACGATTTATGTACTTTTCGCGACCGACTTCCGCTTTGACCTTGAGATAGAGAGCAAAATATCCGTATGCTTGACTATTACTGAATGTGATATATCTCTGAAGCTAATTAAGATAAAGAAGTGAAACTAACGCGAGGTGTTAGGTTACATTACAGAGTATATCACATATATTTTTTTATAATTTTTAGAATAAAAAATTACATTAAAAAAATAAAAAAAAACATGTTTTTTTCTGAGTTCTCTGTGACTTACAATCACGAAATTAATATATGTTATGCTTCTTTGTGTGCTCTATTACCCATAAAAATTGCGTGAAAAAAAAGTTGGTGCAACACAACGAAAAAAAATTATATGTGATTTCTGTCTTATGGTATACCCCTGTATTATAAGGTTTTCACATTACATCATTGTTTTTTTTCGAAATTTCACATCAGCTTGTTTTAAAACATAAGTAACTAGTCTTAAGAGATGAGATAATAGTTAAAAAAGAAATGAAAAAAAAAACAGCCAGTGTTCAATACTTATTATTATTACTTTTTCGTGTCTATCAAAATACAAGAAACAAAATATTAATCATCGTCACTGTTGTAATTAATTACAATCGGAACACTTTGAGTCGCAAATAACTTAGTTAGGACCTCATCAGGACGTACGATTTTGGACAAATATCGTCCATATAATAGATAATAAATGATAGCTGCTACATGAGAACAGCATCCCACTGTACGTTTGCCATTGGGGCAATCACAGCAATAACGAAGAATACTATTGTAGTCATTACCTTCGGAAATATAGTGAATGTAAATTCGATAGACTTTTCTATTTATATGTCTTGATTTTACTTCTGCTTTGATGATATTAGGTGCTGATTTCACATATTGTACTGAGAGATTATTTTGATCGTCCATTATTTCGACCAAGTGAAATGCTGCACATTTAGAAGTAGAAGCT